AGACTATGTGAAATTCAATGGAAACGTCAGCTCTACTCATATCATTATGGGAAAATTCTACTACCAGTCCTTCATCACTTTAAACGAAATAGGGTGAATACATCTAATAATACTGATATACTGGTAGTCTCGAAACTGTTATTATTTATTCTACCAATTTGACATAGGACTACCAGCGTTGACCCTATTTTTTGTGGTGACCTGATTTTGATAATAGTCTAGAAATGTCTACGAGAGTCACAGGATAAATGTGAATTTCACTGTCCACTGTTCGACTCTGGAAATGATCATACATACTATGGACTCCGGACAAGGAGCGTTCCTCTACGCTTTCCTGCTAATATGACCAATATGAGATATATTCATCCAATTTCGTTTAAGGTGATTAAGCATGGTATTAGTCGATTGTTATAGCAAATATACGTTTGCTTCATCGACAATCCAACCAAAGAATATGATATTGCAAAATACCTGACCCTCGAAATTCACATTTGCCCTATGACTTACGGGCACTCGTGACAATGTGGCAGAATGGTTAACGTGTCAAGCTCCCATTCTGTACTGTCACTGTTCGACTCCCGCTGGGGATGTTGATAGGACCTATGCGAGGTCGAAACTGCAGTCCACCCTGGATGAGAACAACTTTTGAGAAAGCAAAACTATGTGAAATTCAATGGAAACGTTAGCTCTACTCATATCATTATGGGAAAATTCTACTACCAGTCCTTCATCACCTTAAACGAAATTGGGTGAATACATCTCATATTACCAATTTACTGGCAGTCTCGAAGCTCTACTTAAATACGAAATATAGTTTTTGATAGTCTTCAATAATGACTCTTGGTTATTCTAGGCCTGTCTTATTTTTTATGAGGTACTTGGACTATTGCTTCTTCTTTTACTGATATAATTTAATACAATTATCTTTAAAAGCAAGATACTTAAAGTCTATACATTAATTTCCGCGACTCATTACTTCAGTAGTCCTATATATTTTTGACAGTCAGTAAATAAGAGGCAATTTGTCTGGCTGACTAGTAATTTTCTGTTTCTCTTCCTTTTCAGTAACTTCTATAAAATTTTCCTAAAAGCTTTGTGAGCCAAATTAATCCCAAATATTTAATCTTAATTTAATCCAGTAAAAAAACTTTAATAAATTTTGGTCACTTTAAAAATGCTAATCTATACTCCGAACTTCATTGAATCCTGTATTTTCTAATTTCCTTCCATATACTCTCCCTGCTTAGTCCTCCTACCGATCTCCAAGCTGCTCGTCTTCTTCTTACTCACTTGGGCTACTTACAGATCAACACTTTCAATTTATCTAGTCTGCTTGAACAATCAATGCCAGGGCCCGCGAGTGACTTAGTTCTCGGTGGGCCTGAGGCCGGGCAGCCGAATAAACGATCTTCACAGCTAATCTCGACCTACGATGACAATGAAGCCAGCTATACTGGTCAAGCATTGTCTAATTCAATTTCATCGAATGCTACTGGTGGCCTCGGAGGCCCATCCTCTGGAAGTGTCGCGACCCGTCTGCTTCGCCGCCCCACGGGTTTGGTACCTCTGGAGCCCTCTACACCAGGATTTATTGATCAACTTTCTTTGCTCGATAAATTAGCGACTCGACACACAAATAGCCTTATGATCTTTTACGTTGCCGCTGGGCAAACACGGCCTGACGAAATTGTGGCTAACATAGTAAGTGAAACATTTCCCGTTCTATTATTTACCTGGGCACGTTTATAGCTAAGTAACTTTACGAATTTGACATGAGAGTCACTATTTACGCTATTGAGGTAATCAAATCCCTCTTCCTCGGGGCAATAATCGTCTAAAATTCAAGTTTCTCATCTATTGTCAATGCTGATTCCCAGTAAAATTTATGGGAGGCCTTTAAGCATGCTCTCCATGATGCTTTATGCACAATACACAACTTATATGTACAGCTTTGGTTTTGCTTTGCCTGTAGCGCACTGACATTAACAAAAAACATCAGATCGGAAAGGCCATAATTATAATTAAAGGATCAAAACTTTATGATTTGCATTTTTTTGCCACAGTACCACCAATCTACAAATCTGATGAATGTATTTCTTACATACATGCACATGTATGTGTATGCTACTGACTATCTATATTTTTATGCACACATCTATCGCCCGCTTTTTTACACCAAGAGAGTTCTGTAGAAATATTGGAACTATCTCATTTATGCTTGTACATCTTACAAGGTATTTTTATAATCTTAGCATGAAAAAAGTTTTAGTTATCATCTCGCATGTTTTTTATATC